AGCAGAAACATTCACATTCTTAGGCTTTGAAGGGTTTGAAGACCTGTGTATTGCTACATATCAAAATATACTCCTGCTTCAATGGTTTGCTCTGGTCAGACAAATACCAAAAGCAAGTAAGGAGGCAACCTCACGGGGAGTGTCAATCACAGCTCAGGGCTGGTGGGGCGGGGCGGGAAGCAGGGGATGGGGATCACCAACTTATCCCATTCAGAGCAGCAACTAAACTAGGGTTTTTTGGAAACTTTCACTTGGCACATCTAACGAATTTTGAGAAGTAGCTATATTATTTTTACTTGTTTAATCTCAAGACAAACCTGTTGCAAAGTTAACGTTTTAAAGTTATGCAAATTTAAAAAAAACAACCCAATGCCAAGAGGCCCATGTCTACCATTGAGAAAGGCACTGAGCAAGCTGCAGGTCCTGCTAGATTTCCACGACCACGGGGGTGGGCAGGGCACGGGCAGGCACAGGAATGTTCAAGGGCCCATGCCTGGGTCGTTCCTGTGAAACAGCCATAATACAGTCCTCTGCCAGAATACAGTGATGTTAGCAGAGGCAGAATGCTTTTTACCATATTAGCTGAGAAACAACACAGCAAAGGGCATTGACAAGGCCATCGAAGCAGTGGACTTAAGTCGGTAGCACAGATGTACCACCACGGTTCCCACGGAGGGGCTGGTGGCTCCCTCGCCGGGGTGTGCCATGTGCAGAGAGGAGTCTACCAGAACAGTCACAACAGCGGAGAGGGCGGGTGGGAGTGCATTACTGCTCAACGCAGTTACTGCCGTTAGTTTGACTTCTCATCAGGACCCCCCACTGCACAGGAGCCTGTGAGAGCAGGAACAGACAGGGACTGCTCAAGGTCCACCTCGAAAGGCAGCGGGGAGGAGGGAAGGAATACAGGGAAGGAGGGTGTGGGGAGGGAGGGCAGAGGCAAGAAGAGAGAGACTCTAGGACATAAGCATCCTAAACTGAGGATAGAACAAGAAAAGCATTCAAATACACACAAAATATCACTCCCACTGAAATGTCTTTATTTATAGTTTCAACTGTGTTACAGTAATACTAAAGGCAAATTTGAAAAGTCATCATATTCTCAGCATTCTAACAAAGGCATGTTCAGTTCTCCAATTCCCTTGCTGCGGTTTTCAACTTAGTTCCCATCCTCACCAGCATTTCCAATGCCAGGCATGGGTACCGAGATAACCAGACAGGGCTCACTGCCACAACGGCTCAGGAACACTCACTTTCTAAGGTGGCTCACAGTCATTTCCATCATATACTCTTTTCTTTAAAAGACATTCTCAAGCCAAGTAATGTCATTTGTTTCAAGTGTACAAAAAACCAAACGTGTAAAACAAATTATAAGAAATTCTCTAAAGCACTGATGATTCAAATGTGCTTTTGGTTCAAAGTATAGGGAAAAGAGTATCAAAGTTTTCGTGTAAGCCTCATTTAATTTAGATATAGTAGAGTCAAATATTATTAAATTTTAGTTTTAGTTTTATAGTTTTGGAACAATCATATAGCATGGGTGATAATACTTCAGTATACTTCACAGTTAAGAATGACAAAAGAAAGGCATTCTCTAATGAGAGAGATAGAATTAATTACACATATATATTGTGATCATGTAGGTTAATGGAGTCTAGAGTTACTGAAGACCTAATTATCCTTATTCTTAAGTTAGTTTTAAAATTTCATCAAAAAACAAGAAAGTACCACCCTTTATATTTAAAAAGTGGCCTGGCCGGTTTGGCTCAGCGGTTAGAGCATTGGCCTGCGGTCCAGAGAGACCCGGGTTCGGTTCCCGCTAAGGGCGCGTACCTCGGTTGTAGTTTGTCCCCGGCCCTGGTTGGTCGTGCGGGTGGCAGTCACTCGATGTGTCCCTTTCATGTCGATGTTTCTCTCTCTCTCTCTCTTCCTCTCTCTGCCTCCCGCTCTGTCTGAACAAAAAATGAATAAATGTCTTTGGGTGAGGATAAAAAAAAAAAAAAAAATTGGATACTGATAAGAATAAAAGGGCTAAAGGATGTTATACTATTCTGTTCACTCCAACAGTCAATCATAACCAAAACTTTTATGAATTAATTTTTGTGACCAAAGTGTAGAAATGATTTAATAAACCAATAATGAGATTTTAAACAACATAAGTTGTCAATAACTAGAACAATTTGGTTGACAAACTAAAGTGGCAGCCATTCCTGGCTACTCCTGTTCGACATTAGTGCGCATTCAGGGTCACAGTCTGAACGCGCTTGCTGATAATGCCATTGTCATTGTACCTTTCTCACTGAGGGCTGCCGCTGCTGAGTACACTGTGTGCCTGGCACAAGCTTCTACATTCGCCACCTCATTTGACGTTTACCGTAACGGTGAGCAGTGGATGTTAGCATCTGCATTTCGTGGACGACGATGGAAAGCTGCTACCATGTAGTGAACGTCTCCACTGTGCCAGCCGATGCAGTAGTGCACTCATCTAGTGTACAAGAGCCCCATGGCTCAGATATGCTAGTGTCCTGGCTTGACAGGTGGAGAAACGGACGTAGAGTACACAGCGGTCCCAAGGTCACGTGCCTTACATGTGGCAGAGCCCTGACACTGACCCACATCCTCCTCGTGCCTAAGCCACATTCTTACCCACCAACCCCGAGGGGTCTGGCTCTCCAGGCCTGCGCTCTGTCCCACCTATGAGAAGAGCTCCAACAGCAGACAGGAAGGGGGCCAGGGCTGGTTTGGCCAGAGCTGCACCCCTGAATCCACAAGACAACTCGGTAACTCTGGTTGGGTTCCCCCCCCACGTTTCTCTGAAAAAACTCACAATTAGGGAACTGAAGTCCTGCCCCAGAGCTGACACAGCTCCGTGCTCTCAGGAGCACGTGACCCAAAGGCAGGGTTGCTAACTGACCAGAGCACCAGGCATCCCAGAATAAAAAGCCTTGGGCAGATGCCCCAAGTCTATTCAGTGGTCATCAGCGGCTTAGTGATGATGACCCGCCATGTACCTGACCACACTAGGCTCTCGGTTTCTTTTTTTTTTTTAATCCTCACCCGAGGACATTTTTCCATTTTTTGTTCAGGTAGAGTGGGAGGGAGAGAGAGGAACAGAGAGAGAGAGAGAAACATCGATGTGAAAGGAACACATCGAGTGGCTGCCACCTGCACAACCGACCAGGGCCGGGGACAAACTGCAACCGAGGTACGTGCCCTTAGCGGGAACCGAACCCGGGTCTCTCCGGACCGCAGGCCGACGCTCTAACCGCTGAGCCAAACCAGCCAGGGCTAGGCTCTCGGGTTTCTGAGCTGAACAGCAGGGGCCCACCTCAGCAGCTAACAGTGTGAGGCTGGGTACATGGTGGAATAAGAGGTGTCAGAATCATGGCAAATATAGTGGGGGGCTCCAAGTGGGGGCTGGAGGTGAACTCTGAGGGGGTGTGAAGAGGTCAACCAAGGCCAAAGGAAAAGGCAGAAGGGAGCCGAGTCTCAGGAAGGCCGAGTCTCCGCATTCTAGGAGGGAGGCAGGGACCATGGTAAGAAGTTGTCCCATGTGGAGGAGACAACTATGCAAGCTCTCCACCGACTAACAATTGTCAGCATAAGGACAGGCAGAGACACCACGAAGAAACAAAACTATTGTCTCAAGTCACGCTGGAGCAGATGGATTACAGAAAAGGTTCGGCTTAGGGACAAGTTCACCACCCCCACACAGCACCCAGGACGACAGTGCTCGCCTGACTGGCACTGCCTGAGTCCAGTTCTCTACGGAATACTGGAAAGACTGATGCATTATTCATGCAATAGCAGGTAAGCAGCAGCTCAACCAGAAAGTAACGACAAAACCCCAGCAGAAGGAACCAAGCGCATGAGAATGCTTTTCATTCCCAAGGCAGAGAAATGCCATTTCAATCAGCAAAGGCCAAGAACAAGAAAGGAATGAGGTGCTCAGAGGGGGAAGGGGAGACCTCTATAATACTTTCAACAATAAAAGAATTAAAGAAGGGAGGGAGGGAGGGAGGGAGGGAGGGAGGGAGGGGGGAGGGAGGGGGGGAGGGAGGGAGGGAGGGAGGGAGAGAAGGAAGGAAGGAAGGAAGGAAGGAAGGAAGGAAGGAAGGAAGGAAGGAAGGAAGGAAGGAAGGAAAGAAAGAAAGAAAGAAAGAAAGAAAGAAAGAAAGAAAGAAAGAAAGAAAGAAAGAAAGAAAGAAAGAAAGAAAGATTGATTTAGTGAAAATTACAAAACCACCTTTACCCCAGATATTTTTGCCCACTGGGCTACGGCACTTATATTACAGACTGAACACATTTATTAACAACATTAGTATAGGCATAGAGAGGAAAATAATTAATGTGTGCCCCAATTTAACCAGTATTACCTCTGGGGAGTGGCTTTACTCTCCACAGTCACATTCTATGTTACAGATCTATGACATTTAATTGTTTTGCAACATATGTATTATAGTTAGTGATTGGAAAAAATATACCAGGTCTCATGCCACGTGAAAATATTGACAAGTTCACAGTCAGGAAACAGTATACTGCCCCCACTTTACTTATCCCCATGAGTGATTCTGATTCTAACGGTCCGAACGGGGGAGGTTAAATATCCACAGAATCGGCAGAAAAAGCCCCTGCAGCAAACACCCAGACAGCTTCGAAGAGGCCAGGAGAGGGAGGTGTATGCATCCAGGGCCAAGGGGACAGAGGAACAGTGACAGCACGGAACAGACTCCACCAAGGGCTGGGAATGAATGAATATAGGGAAGGAGGGAGGTGAGGGGAAGGAGACAGGAAGGAGGGAGGAGGAGAGAAGAGAAAGCTGAGGAAGCGGAGGGAGGAGAATGGAGAAAGGAGAAGGGGCGGGGGAGGGAGGGAAGGGAAATAAGAAACCAGGGAAAATGGGGGAGGGAGACACCTAAAGTCTGATCAACAAATAAAGGGTCGTGTTTCTGATCATCAGAGTTATACATGAATTTAATAATATATTTTTAACATGTACGTACCATTTATTTCCCTTTCAGGTCTCAGAGAGTGTTGCTAACTTCCAATTCAAGACTCAGAAGGAACAGGTAGGTGCTCTAGATGTCCAATTGGGGATTTCTAAAAGAAAAGGAGACAGAATACAAATTATCCTAGAGAATAAAAGTGATTAATTAAAGAAACTGATTTGCCCTGGCCAGATGATTCAGTTGGCTGGAGCGTTGTCCTATGCACCAAAAGATGTTGGGTTCAATTCCCAGTCTGGGCACATACCTAGGTTGCAGGTTCCATCCCCAGTGGGGGTACATAGGGAGGTAACCGACTGATGTTTCTCTCTCACATTGATGTTTCTCTCTCCCTGTGTCTCCCTTCCTGGCTCTCTAAAAGTCAATAAAAACATATCCTAGGGTGAGGATTAAAAACAAAACAACAACAACAAAAAACACTGATTTTCACTGAATAACAAAGATGGTACATTTCCTCATATACCTGGGAAAAGACTGGGTTCAAAGCTACTTTCTAACATAGCTGCTCTAGCAAACTCTAAATTGATTCTAGAAAGAAAAAAAAAATCAATGGTAGGATATGCTGCATTGGCCTCTTTAAGGGAAAACAAGCCAAAGGAACCTGTGGAGGGCCCTTGGCTGGGGACCCACGTGGCTTCACACCATGCCCAACACAGCATCCCCAACACGACTTGGTCATTAAGTCCTGCAGGAAGTGATCCAGCCTTCTCACAAACAACCAAAAACTGGGGAGGAGACAGCTTTTACTTCAGAAGCTTGGTTCATGTTTGCAAGGGAGTAAAAAATGACAAAGCAGCATTTGATCTTGTTCTCCACATGCAGTTCCAGGTCCGGCACGAGCTCAGACACAGGCCTTCCTCTCCTGAGCAAGGGCAGACCTCAGTACACCGCATTTCATTCCTAGGAAGGAACCGGTCCACATTCTCAGACCCAGAAATAACAGGACTCCATTTCACAAAGGGGAAAGAAATCGAGGCTCTCTGAAGAAAGTCATATCCCTAGGGCCACACACCTAAACGTTTTTTCATTTTTATATGTATTGGAAGATATCTGAATGAATCATGAAAGTGATTGTTATCCGTACATCTGACAGCTCAAAGGAAAACCCCGTGGTGGACAACCTACCGGGCTTCTCCCTTAGCATCGCTTTCTGCGCGTGCCACAGGCCAATGCCCACACCGCGTTTACGAGAAAGGGGGCGCTCAGACGGAGCAAAAACACTCTGACTACGACAGGTATCTTTTTTTTTTTTTTTAATCCTCATCTGAGGACATTTTTCCTTTTTTGTTCTGGTAGAGTGAGAGGGAGAGACAGGAACAGAGAGAGAGAGAGAGAAACATCGATGTGAAAGGGACACATCGAGTGGCTGCCACCCGCATGACCAACCAGGGCCGGGGACAAACTGCAACCGAGGTACGTGCCCTTAGCGGGAACCAAACTCGGGTCTCTCGGGACCGCAGGTCGATGCTCTAACCGCTGAGCCAAACTGGCCAGGGCAACAGGTATCTTTTTATTGAGATTTACTTTATTTTGCATGGTTATAGAAACTATCAATAGTAAAATAGTCTAAGGACGCACTTGGGACTTCAACAGATGATGGCTAAGGACACTCCACTCGGGTTGACGCCAGCTTCCCAGCCACCATCCCCTTTCTGGAGGATGCATAATGAACGGTTTGCCAGAAGTTTATCAGTAAGCCTGCAAATCTCGACCTACATTCTGTTTAGCTTCAAAACAATAAAATAAAATAAAATAAATGAAAGCCTGAAAATGTCTCTTTAAATAACAACTAAGACTGCCTCGCCAGTGTGGCTCAGTGGTCAAGCATCGACCCATGCACCAAGAGGTCGCTGGTTCGGTTCCCGGTCAGGGCGCACGTCCGGGTTGTGGGCCCAATCCCCAGTGTGGGGCATGCAGGAGATGGCCCGTCAATGTTATCTTTCATTGATGCTTCTGTCTCTCTCTCTAAAGAAATCAGTAAAGAAAAAAACCTTAAATAACAACTAAGACTTATACTCGCCCCTCTCACATTTAAAACATTCATCTTATCCTTTGAGATGATGTGGAGGGACCTGGAGAGTATTATGCTGAGTGAAATAAGCCAGTCAGAGAAAGACAAGTACCACATGATCTCACTTACTTGTGGAACATAATGAACAGAATAAGCTGTTGACCAAAAGAGATCCAGAGTCACGGAAGTAGGGACAGACTGACAAACCTCAGATGGATGGGGGTGGGAGGGGGGAAGAGATAAACCAAAGAACGTATACACATATATGCACAACCAGTCCACACCAACACGAGGCTGGGGAAGGCAGGAGCGGGGTGGGGGCGGGAAGGAGGGCGTCAATAGGGAAAAAGAGGGACATCTATAGTCCTTTCAACAATGAAAAAATATAAGCTACATATATAAGAATAAACTAATAAATAAAATAAAATGTTCAAAACAATCTACTTTGCCCTGGCCAGTTTGACTCAGTAGTTAGAGTGTAGGCCCGTGGACCAGAAAGGCCCATGTTCGGTTCCTGCTAAGGGCACGTACCTCAGTTGTGGTTTGTCCCCAGCCCTGGTTGGGGTCATGTGGGTGGCAACCACTCAGTGTGTCTCTCTCACATTGATGTTTCTCTCTCTCTCTCTCTCTCTCTCTCTTTTCCTCCCACTCTTCCTCCCGCACTATATGAAGATAAATGCAAAAAACAAACAAACAAACAAATCTACTTTTCCCTGACCCATTACCTACCAAGTTCAACAAGAACAGAAAGTAAAATTAGTACTGGATTAAAACAGAAATATAAACCCAAGTTTACGGCTCTTTTTGAGTGCCTACTGCCCACAATTTAAGAATTTATTTGATATGTCTGCTGAATTGTATGGGATTCCAGGAATTCAAATGAATCAAGTCATATACATTTAATAGGACACTGGAGAAAATTTAATCAAAAATATGTTTGGGCCCAATTTAAATTGACTGTGACCCATAATAAAGTAAAAACATTTTACATTTCACTACTTTGCAACCAGTATTTTTTGTTTTGTCCTAAAATTGTATCAAAAATTCCTTTTCATATTTATCATTATTTTTCTCACATTTTTGAAGAGAGAAAATAACAGTTGAACTCCTACTCTAATGATTCAGAGATAGAAGAGTCACAAAATTATGACTGGGATGGGGGATAATACCATATGTAAAGAACTTCAGGACTGAGTTTATCTTCAAAGTTGCCATATGACATCAAAACCATCCTAATAAAAATAACTCATAACACCTATTTTTGAAGCTAAGGGATTGTAAGGTCATCTGTTTTTAGCAACTCATTTCACCGCGGAAGAAATGAAAACCCAGAGTGCTCAAGAAATCTCTCCAAAGCCATACACCCAAACTGGTCCTAGATCTCAGACTTCCTAGGTGCCAATCAAGTGCTCCACTGGATCACAACCTATTTTTAATTTCCATGATAAACCTCTTAAGAGCTTATAATTTCATCTATTTTTCTACACATCTATATTTTACAAAGCATGAACACAAGTCAACTTCACTTTATGTTAATACAAAACACAACCAATGTCCAAGAACATACTCTGCCTTTTGCTCCACTGATCATACCAGATTAAACAATGAATGCCTATGAAAACTCTGAAGTGAAATCTGCAATGCCCTTAGGTTGTCTAACCTAGATACATCTATTCTCAAAACAGAATTTCCCTTTCTTATTCATAGTCAAATCATAATCACAGCTTTGCCACAATATAGTTTCAAGTAGATTTTGTAGAGAGCTATAAAAAAAAAATACAGATATTCTACCATCAAAGCTTAGATAAGCAGTTTTTTAGAGTAAGAATTTCAAGATAATGTACTGTTAGATCCATCAGTTCAGACAGAACTCTTACCCTCTGGAACTCTGGGATCATGTAGGAGCACCGAAGTTTCCTGGATCAGCATCTTATCCACAGTCCTTTGCTGATTCCCCAACTGTCTACCCTGCACAGAGCTAGACGCAAGGGAACCAGGGGTCGCATGATGATGTCCTCACCCACTGTGCCTTCATCGAACTGAGTCAAGGTTTGCAAGTCACCAATGAATACGTGCAAATGTGTGTTTAGAGGGGTAGTTAGTAAATTCACATGTGGTTTTCCCAGAGAGTTAGTTGACAGATTTAGTTAAGAGTATATGTTGGGAAGCAGGGTAAGATAATTAAAATAGGCCAACAGATAACAGAGAGCCCCTCCACACACGCCCCAAAGAACAAAAGAGTGGTTAGGAAACAAAAGTATCCATTGAAAGGCATTCCCTTCCTGAAAATATGTCAGCAACAAATTATCTTCCTTATATTTCTTCATATAAACTGATTAATGGTATTAAAACTCAGTGCCAAACAACCCCATTAAAAAGAAAAAGATAAGCTGTAAACTTTCAACAAAGAAAATGAACGAATGGCAAGTAAGCCCAAGAACAGATCTTCAACATAAGTAGTCAGCAAGGAAATACAAAATAATACCTGAATGAGACACCATTATAGACTCACTAGAATGGCTAAATTTAAAAGGGCAAAAATATCAAGTGTTTACAAGAATATGGAGCAAATGGGATTCTTATACAATGCTGGTAGAAAATGAAAAATGTTAACAAATAATTTGGCAGTTTCTTATCATGTGAAACACACAATTACCACATGATCCACCAATTCCACCCCTAGGTATTTATCCAAGAGAAACTGAAAGACAAATTCCACATCAAGACTTGTACGAGAATGTTCACAGTAGCCTTATTCAGAGTACATAGCCCATAACTTGAAAGAACTCAGATGTCTACCAGTTGATGAATAGATAAACAAATCATAGTATATGAATACTACTTAGTAACGAAAACGAAAGAATTACTGACGCATACAGCGTAGGTAAGTCCCAAAACATTATACTATGGGGAAGAAGGAAACACATAAGACTACATGTATAATGCCATTTATTTGAAATTTTTGAGAAGGCAAAATTACAGCAATAGAAAGCAGATCGATTGTCGCCCAGGGTCAGGGTGGGGGGAAGAGGTCAGTGTAGAGGCATAGAGGAGGGATAGAAATGTCCTGCATCACAACGGCAGTGAGTACATGATTGTGCATATTTATGAATTCCATTGAATAATACACTTAAAATCAGCGAATTTAAAATCTACTCTAAACCTATGTGCAAAAACTCTTTGATACATTAATTGGAAAACCCCCTCTAGGCACCCAGCAGGCTTTGTCCTAGTCTAACGAATATGCTTATCTGTGATGTCAATAAACACACTGATCAAAGTTATAGCTGATTCGAGGCTAAAAATGTGAGAAGCTGGAACAATTGTATAGTATTATTGTCAAATATAGATAAAAACCAAATTGCATTGATTCAGCAAATATTTCCTAAGGGACTACCATGTGGTCCCTGAGGTCCCTACACTAGATAAAAAAAGTCACCAAGATGAAGTAAGCAAGAGCCCTTGCCCTTACAAAGTTCATTATCCAAGAAAGTAAGTAACGCACTCCCGCTGCAGAAGTAATTGGCTAACGAGCCTGAGAAAGACCTGTGAGTTTGCGCTCGTCACTCACCTCTCAGCTATGGCATCAAACAAGGGAAATCACAGGCTGAACCAACAGAAGGATCAAATTCAATAAAAAAACACACAAGTATTACCTTGCTCTAAATTGGTCAACCCATGTAGGGGAAGAGGTAACTTTCCATCATGCTCTGGAGGTGCTCACTTCAAGCCCCCCCCCCTCCCCCCACGACGAAATCCCTAAGATGATGCACAAGGCTGGACTGACCCTGTACCTATCTGTGATCCAGGCTGATAAGTGTGTTAGGTGATATCAGACCCTGACAAACTGGGTCATGAGCAGGTAAAAAGGGAACCAGGAAAATTTTAAATCAACTGGGGAAATGCCTGGGAGTGGGGGTGGTACCATTTGGAGGGGGAGACATCATTCCGAGTGGCACGTTACTGAGTGGTGAGTGTGGCTCATGGTAAGAACACCCAGCGCTGAACATCTCAGGTTTGATGAGACCACCTCATGAGGCAGAGAGACCGGTTCAGCAAGTTCACTGAACTAGGAACTCAGCCATATCCCAATCCTAATATTTCATCCCAATGTTACCTGGATCACTACCATCACCTCACTACCTGTCTCCCAATGCCCAGATTTTCAACCTTCCACGGGGCAGCAAAATCGATCTTTCTCATACCCAGTTACGACCATGCCCTCCTACCACCCCACCCCATGCCTGCAATCTACCCTTTCGGTGGCTCCCCATCACCTACAGGATCAAACCTCACCCAGGCAGGGCCCCATCAATGCAGCCCTTCCGCCACCCTCCGTCAGAGGCTGTGCCTGGCCATTCGAACCTCGCAGAACACGCTCGCGGGCCGTGCTGCTTCCCACCTTCACCTGACACACATGCCATCCACTGTCTGAAACACCCCACACCCCCTGCTGTGTGTCTGGAGGCTGCAGCCCACTCACCGTTGGCATGGCTCCGACAAACCCTCCTTTTAGAACATTTCCTTGACCCTTCTCACTTTCACCACTTCCCCTTCTTCGTGCCCCTGCACTAGACTCATCTCCATGAAAACGTCAGCCCAGATGTATAGATCAACTGTGGCTATATCTCCCGGATG